ACTTGCAGCTCAACTTGCTAAAAACTTCGAAAATGGTCCGTGGGAATATTGAGATGGGAATGCAGGGGTGCATTCTGTCCAGCCTATAGCTAGGCGCAGCACCGGCGAGGCAGACGCGGACGCACGGGAGAAGTTGGAGAAGGCGAACATCGTGTAGGAGAGACCGTAGCTGAGAACGAAACGAAAGGTGAATCAGCGACTGGACACGCGCAGAACAGGATAGACGCACCCAAAGGGCCATTGCGGCGCGATCCCGCGATGATGAAAATGTTTGTATCCCTGCACCCCCGCATATCAGTGTCCCATTCTGCGTGTTCCTTACGCCCCACTCACCACAAACAAATCCTCTCCATACCGCACCTTGCCATTCTCTGACCGATAATGCCCAAAACTCGCATAATCCTCCAACGTCCTCCCAAACATCAAGCTCATCCGCCCACACGGATTCACCCTCCGGACCAAAACATCCCCCACCGCCTCGCCCGTCGCGTTACTCAAATACCACGCATGCACGATCCCCAGCACGCCCGGCTCCTCCGCCCACGGCATCGTGATCGCCGAGCCCGCCTGTGTCACGACCACCGTGTGCTTGCGCTTGTTCGCCCTCGCCACGTGCCACACGAGCTCGTCCGTCTGCCCCGGGAGCGCAAGCGTCGTCCGATCGTACCCCTCCATCTCCCAGTCCGCGTTCAATCCCACGACGACGACCACCGCATCCGCCTCGGCCGCGACACGCTCTGCGCACGCCATCAGCGCGTCCGCGTCCTCCACCATCACCCCGCCGAGCTGCACGCCCGGATTAGAGTCCATCACCGCCTCGTCCGGGTCGGCCGCCGCCAGCGCGTGCACGTTGCAGTACTCGATGACGATCTCATGCTTGACGCCTGCCTTGAGCGGGACCACGCCCTTGTCCTCTGTCAATCCCGAGCCGGAGAACGCGTCGCCCCGCGTCTGGCGCGTCCAATTATCGATCACGAGCTCGCCGTCGACGTACAGCTGCAGGGCCACGCGTCAGTAGAGGAGTTCCAGGGGGAGACGCACACGCACCTTCGTGCGCCCGGCAGACGAGAGCCCGAACTCAAAGTCGCAGTCGGTCTCGCATGGCTTGAGGAAGCCCGTTACCTTGAGCGTCCAGAGCTTCGTCAGCTCCACGGGATAGCTCATGCTACAGCCTCTCAGCCGTGCACAAACACCAAGCCCGACCGCGCACCTGAAGAACATCCTGGTCTCATCGATGTACTGCGTCTTCAGTGGCTCCTTCACCCGCATTATGCTCTCGTCGCTCTCGTGCGCGTACCACGTGCCCATCCACCCATGCCGGCCATCCTCGGTGAACATGTCCCAGTCGAGGCTCGGCGTGAGCATGTACACTGTACGACCGTCAGCCGCGTCTCGTCAGGAAGGAGGAAGACAGCGCGTTACCCCTTGCACCCTCGCAGTACGTGACCTCGATGTCGGGCGCGACCTTGCCGAGGGCTGCGACGATCCCGTCGTATGGACTCACGAAGAAGCTCGGCTTCAGGGCAGCGGACCTGCCACCGCTCAGCACCGCCGCCTTCGCGTTCCCACCGACGATCGCGATCTTCTTGATGCCTTGCACCTGGCATGCCGTTATGACCGATTAAGAGAGTTGGAGGCCAACACAGACGCACCTTGGGCTTCAGCGGGAGGACGCCACCCTCGTTCTTGAGCAGCACGATCGACGCAGCGGCAAGTTCGCGCATGAGCGCGCGCTCCTCGGGCGTGTCTTCCATGCGCTCGAGGCCATTGCCATCGAGGATCTGGTGCGGTATGGTATTCGAGCCATCAAATCGAGAGGGAAGAGAGCCGCGAGACGTTCTGTGGGCGTGGCCTTTGCACACCGCTGTGCAAGCTCGAGGACCTTCCACGCGCGCTCGTTCACCGTGCGCTTCATGATCTTCCTGCTCTGAATCCTGTACGCGGCATGTCAGCATTAGCTGCGCGATGCCTCGCGTGGGCTCGCGCGTGGGTCTTCGAGGTCAGCCGATGGCGCTGGGGACATCGAACGAGAGGGGGAGATGCTTGGAAGGTCAGTATATGCGCCCTAGGACGACGCGCGATACAGGGCGACCGCGACTTACCTACAGCACCCATCCAATGCCATCCAACCATCCCTCCCTCCTCCTGTACTGGTGCCACCACTGGGTCGCCATCTCTTGCATGCATTGACGCACTCGTGAGCCGTGGTGATCGGGCAAGGGAGTGGGCGGCGAGTGCGGCAGGCCTGCGTGATCAGCTTATCGCGTTGGGCGCGAAGAAGGCAATGGCGGTGAACGAAAACGCGGCGGGTTCGGACGCCGTAGTGGCAAAGCACGCGTGAGCAGGCGGCTGGTCGCTGCGTAGAGCGAGAAGAGATGGGTGCACGATGCCTCGCATGGGCTCGTTCGCGTATCTTCGAGGTCAGCTGAGTGCGCCCGAGTGGTCGAACGAGAGGGTAGGACTCTGTAACGCTAGTTACATGCGCCGTGGTGCGACGATCGATACAGACAGCCTTCACTCACCTGTGGCGCCCCTCCAACCCACTTGCCCTTCTCCTGCGTCGCCGACGACGCATCGCCATATCTCGCATGTATCTGCGCGTTCGTGAGTCGTGGTGAAGGGACGAGGGTGTGTGCGACAGACGGGGCAGGCCTGCGTGACCGACTCATCGCGTTGGGCACGGGGACGGCGACGGTGGCGAATGAAGAATGCAGCGGGTTTGCACGCACGAGCGAGCAGCTAGTCGCTGTGTAAGGCGACAAGAGAGGGGCAATTTGCGAAGCGCGGGCGCACAGTGCCTCGCGTGGGCTCGTGCGAGGGTCGTCGAGTCGGCAGAGCGCGCGAGGGTGGTCGAACGAGAGGCAGGGAGGACGCTGAAACAGTGAGTGCATGCGCCGCGGTGACAGGCCGATGGCGACTCACCTGGTGTGTGCAAACGACCCCACCTACATCCGCTCTCGCCCACCTATGCACTCCGTGAGATCCCCACCTCGTCCTCCTGCTGCAGCGCCGCTCGAGATGGTGGGCCGGCCTTGTAGACGTGCGCGCATTAGTGACACTACGTTGACAGCGATGATAGCGTGGCCGTACGTGATGGAGTCATCTCGTTGGCTGCGGGGAAGGCGGTAGCGGCGAACGAACGACACAGCGTGTTTGCACGCTGTGATGGTGAGGGACATGAGCGCACGCACCGGTACACTGTAGAAGGGCGAGAGCGAGGACAGCTCACCTAGTATAGCGTCCCAACCCACCCTACGTCGGCTGTGCCCACCTACGTGCTCACGACTCGCCCTCCTCCTGTGGCGCCGCTGACGACGGTGGCGATACCTTGCAGACGTGCGCGCGTTCACGACGCTACGTTGACGGTGAGAAATGCGAATGTCGAGGAATGCGCAGTGAGGAAGGCTGAGGTCCGAGATAGAGAGGCGAGAGGCGAGAGGTGAGAAGTGGGAACAGGCGCGAGTCTCCCCGCACATGAGGGGAAAGGGCACGTCGTGGAGGCTTGAAAACAGTACCGACGGACTCAAAATTTTGCAGTTGAGTCATTTAGATGTATTGCTAGGGGGCCCCAGCACCGACAAGCGAGCGGATTGCGATGCACGAGAGAAAAAAGCAAAAAGTCACCAGGACCATAACGGGCGCTTACCGACTGAGTTGAAAGGGCATCCCGTAGAAACACAAATAAATTGCGGAATAATGAGAATTTAATTAGCTGGGTGCTTGAGATGTAGAGCGAGGGGGCCCCAACAAAACCGAGGTGATAGAAGTAACTGAGGGTCTTAAAAAGACCAATATTGACCAAACCACCACTGTGAGGAAACCTGCCCGATTGGGAAGCTTACAGCGCCCGTTTCGCTCAACTGGACATTGGGGCCCCTTTGGGGCCTCCGAGATTCGAAGCGTGGCTTTCAGATGAGGGTATTTTGAAGAGCATAGCACAAGAGTTGAATGTGCTATGGAGGGCCCTCTGAGCATGGCCGTTAGGGGCTAACGGCTCCCGGTATATAGATAGAACAACGTTGGAATGGTGTATAACCTGTAGCAACAGCCTTATACCTGGTGCAAGCAGAGATCGGCCACAAAGTGTTGGAAAAGGTGCTGGAGAACGGGCGCCTAAGGAGAGGTTGGAAAAAATGAACTAGGGAACGCTTAATACAGTTGCACCGGGTCCAGAAACGGGCGACAGTGTAGGGAAGAAGGGAAACAAGGCTGCGCAAGTGCCGCGCAAGACAGAGCTATCGTGTAAGATGAGGTGGACGACGTTGTCTGTGACAGTACCTCACGAGGATACCAAGGAGATTGCCGACGGCACTGAGCGATCAGAATGCAACATCAGAGTTGCGCCGCAGTTGCGCCGGACCAATGGGATGTCGAGCTTGCTGTTGAGGGTGTCCACAAGCCTATAACGTCTCAATTAAATTGCATAGATTGAAAACAAAATCCATGGCTCCAAGGGGCTTGGAGCC